TATATATATGTTTGGGAGTTTCTCTTCTCTGGTATACGCATCTTTTTGTTGGCGGCACAGTTCATGATCACATAACCTTTTAGGATTTGATTCCAAAAAGTCCTTTGGGTCCCAAGGAATAGAGACTGAATAAGAGGATTTAGAACAGAGAGGAGTAGAGGAAAACAAGCATAAATAGAATAAATTCTCTAAGAATGGATTCAATCGTCTCATTTGTAAGAAGTGATAAGGAGTCTAATAAATTGCATGGTTGTCCCGCATTTATTGAAACTTTACAATTATTTATGAGTCATTACACTTTTACATTTTTGTAACCGAATTGATTATATTTTGACATTGTAATCATTGCTGACATCATTTCTAATATGTATCTACCCTAGGCACCATTTCATATTTGCAACTTCTTGGCTTAGTAATGTGGTATTCATTCGGTTGGACTAAAATATCTTTAGTCACCTTTTTCTGGAAATCCATTATGAAGACTCGTTGTCCTATGGGAGGATTATTCCATCATGCAGAGGGCGCTTTGTCGTAATCTGACGGACCGCCCATCTTCGGTCGATGAATCTATACAGGACCAGTTCTTATTAGGTGATTGTTGCTCTCGTAAATACACTTCGTGTTGCTTAGACTGTTATTGGTATCCATGCGCGGTGCTCCTTAGTTCGGTCGAACTAGCACTCAGACGTCCCAGGGTTCAACCAACAAGCATGTTGTTGAATTGCTCGGTCTTTTTCTTCTCTGTTCGCGCGATCCGCTGGATCTACTCAAGCTTCTTGTGGCCACATTTCAAATGCATGGGGGGATTTACAAAAATATTGCAAAATTGTTATATATTGATACATTTAACATGAAAATCTTTATATTTGTATATGTATATATCACTTTAGTGTCAAAAGCACTTCAAAGCACATGCATGAAATTTTTTTTTTATTATTTTCGACAAGTTAATATCAGAGGAACATATATATGATTTAGAACTTTGAGTGTTATATAAATAAGTATGAACAGTTGTGTTCCTCTATAATTTATCTAAACTAAGTTATTTTTCCTCATTGAATAATATAAAAGATAAAGATCTAACTTTTAAAATCTCAGAAAAAAAATATAATTGCATTCCATATAACATGAAGATAGCCCACTGATGAAATATAGAAAGATTCTTCTTTTTATATCATATTGAGTGACAGAGGGAGCTTCCTTTTGAGTGAAGTATAAGCCGCATCAATTGCTCCACCTATTAAAATCAACCAAAGCCATCCCTTTCCCAAAGTCATTCTCTCTCTAATTGAAAAGGATGGAAACTCTCATCCTCCTCGTCCTCTGTTCATCGCCGGTTTTCATCTCCCTTCCGCCAGCAAGCGCCAAACTAGCCGCAGTAATCAAGGACGACCAGACATTGCCGGCAGCGCCACCGAATGTCGCCTGCTCAATGTGCTATTACTGCAACAATCCATGCCTTCCACTCCCATCTCCTCCACCGCCGGTGATCGCGTCTGCTCCCCTCCGCCTCCTCCCCCGCCGTCTCCGCCACCGCCCGACCCACCCTCATCTGACTGTCCGCCGCCGCCGCCGCCCCCCCGACGCCTAACTTACCGATCTATTACTACTCTCCGCCGCCGCCAACATCGTGGCAGCCATCAGGCGGCTCAGTATACGCTCCCCCGCTTCAGCCGGACGTCGGCGGCGGATCCATTTGCGGGAGTTGTAATGCTTACGGCGGAAGCGGTTACCAAACTCCGCCGCCGCCGAACCCCATTCTGCCGTACTATCCGTTCTATTTTTACAGTCCACCTCTCGCAGGGGAATCCGCTGGGAACCGTCGGTGGATGCCTCTGCGTTATTGCTCCCCTGTTCTGCTTCTTTTTCTAGCGTTTTTCTTCTCTTAATTGATATTATGACTGTTTTTTCTTTTTCATAAGAGAAGAATGGAATGATTCAATTGAAATTTTCTTAAGCGTGTAGCTGTAATTTTTTTTAAATATTTTCTAAAATAAAGTTGAAATTTTTGAATAAGATGTAAGCGTTTTGCTTTTACTTTTAAGCAAGAGATAGGGGTGTAAACGAGCTGAACACAAGCAAGGCGAGACTCGACTCAAGGCGAGGTTCAGCTCGTGTTCGGCTTGTTTATATTTCAAGCTAAAAAAGTGTCTTTGTGCTCGGCTCGTTTGCTTACCAAGCCGAACAGAAGCCGTTCACGAACGAAGAGTCGTTTTGACAACCCTAATTACGTAATCATAAGATGTTAAAGATTGGGGCAAGATTTAAAACATCTTTTGAATCTAATTTAACAATTTTTATTTTATTTTCTTAATTAATACTTTTAGTTAATTATAAATCCTTGTAGCCTTGTATTCAATTAAACTTTTTAAAAATACTACTTATCATA